TAGCCAGCATGCTGGCTGGGGAATTCTGGGAGTTGAAGTCCACGCACCTTAAAGTTGCCAAGGTTGAAAAACACTGTTCTAATCCATCCTCATCCTGATCTAAAATGCAGGATTTAGCCACTGTTTCCCTGCTACATGTTTATCCAACCCTTGCTTTCCAGTCCCACCATCTTGGGCTGCCCTGAAAATCAAGATACTGGGTTATCTGAGCCTTTCGCTCAGATCCAGCAGCATTCCTAAATATATTTATAGATCTTGGTGAGGGCAATATCATTCTACTTAACTTTTTATTTTTTACGACCACCAGGGATACCTCTGAATATCAGATGCTGATGAGAAATGGCAAGAGAAGGTCATGACTGTGAGTTTCCAGAGACATTTGGCTGTCCCCTGTTGGAAACAGCACGCTGGGACAGACAGACCTTTGGTCTGATCCAGTGAGGCAGTTGTGGCATTCTTGACAAATTAATAATATTCCATGCAAGGGAAAATTGGCATGCCTTAGAATTATGCAAGGTTCCCTCTCCCACCCTCAATAGCGTACACTGGTTGGAACTAGGGTTCAAATCAGTTTGAACGTTCAGGAGTGGGCTGAACGTGGACCTAAGTGAAACTGAGATAAAACCTAGCTGAGTCCCCATTCCAGAGAGAGTCTAGGAGACCAGAAACCATAAGTTAGACCCCGATCCCATGCCAAAATGAAGAGAGGCTTGATACCTGCAAGAAATAGGAATTCATGGGGTCCTCCTTGTCGTCTTCGTTGTAGTAAAGTCCACCTGCTATGAAGATCTGATTCTCTCGGGTGACCAGGCTGACATGGTTCTTTGGAATCTGAGCAGAAAGGGAGGCAAAATAGCACTCATTGGCAGCTGGGTCGTAGGCCACAGCCCCTGAGTCACTGACCATGAAGATTAGGTCTTGAAGGAACATCCCAAAACGCATTGTATCATTTAAGATCCCTGGGAGAATCTCCTCTTCTTTCTCATTCTCTTCTTCATCTAACTGTCCATTGACAATCTGGTCCTCAGATTTCTTCTCTTCCTTCTCTTTTTTCTGCTTCACCAATGTCAGTTTCCCCTCGTGAGCATCTTTCACCATCTGGATCTTCTTGAGAAGCTCTGGGCTGGATTTGATCACAGTGTTCTTCTCCACCTTCTCCCTGAAATAACCCTTGTCCATGAGACGGAAACGGATGCTCTCAAAGACCACTGGAAGCGCCTTGACCCGGCTCTCATGGTCCTTGGCTGTGGCCCACTTCATGACCACCTCAAAGACCAACTCTTCCTTCTCAATATTGAGAGAATCACTGGAGATGATAGCAATAAGTTCATCTGGAGAGAACTGGCAAAACTCCTCATCGCGGGAGACAATGGAAAAACGATCACAGATGAAATCCCGGGCAGCTACCGCCAAGCGGGGGCAATCCAGCATCAATCCCAGCCTGAAAATGGCTAGACAGTTGCTAAGACATAGCCTCTTCTGAAGGAAGGAGACACAGACTGTGAAAATAGAAGGGATCTGAAACATGTTGGCTACCGAGAAAATGTCCTGAACGTTCTGCTCGGTGATCTCCAACTCTGAGGTATAGATGTAATGGAGAATCTTACTCATGACCTCTGGATCCACATCTTCTAAACTGACTTCCCTCTTCTTGCTTTCGTCTATGTCGGAGAGGAACAGGGCCCTGAAATAGGGGCTACAGGCGGCAAGCACCAGACGGTGGCACGGGAATTCCTTCCCTTTCACTTTCAAGATGCAGTCGAGAAACTTCTGGTGGTCCAGCATGTCCTTCAGCCCATCTTGGAGGAGAGTTTGCTGATAAAGACGCATCTCCTCAGCTTGCTCCATCGGCAAGGTGGCCATGGTAGAAACCTTCTTCCCAGCTGCGATCTCCCAAGAATTCCTCGAATCCGCGGATGGTCACTTTTCCTTCCAGAAAGAATGCTGAGAGATCTCCCTTTGCTGCTGATGCAGCTGCTTAACTGCTTCGGTTCAGATAGCAAGTGGGATTTATATAGATAGGCATATATATATATATATAGCTACAGCATTACAAAGCTAATGGAATCTCTTGAGGAACACGTGTAAGCTGATCATCTTTTAATATGGGAAACTGGAGGGCTAGGCATGGCGGGGGGGGGAGATGATGACACAGAAGGGTGAATAACAGCTGTATGTGTAATTCTAGCCCCATGACCAGCGTCTGTCTCACCCCAATGAAGCATTTTCCCTTCAGAAAGACTCAAAAAGCTTCTTAGGGATGCGATGTAAATGAGGTTATGGATGCAAAGGATGGGAATTAAACTGATACCACCCTTATGTTCGGGGTTCAGGGACCAGGAGAGATTTTTTGAGCCCCTCTTTGCACCAGTTCTGCATAGACGTGGACGCACACACAGATGCCACGGCTCCGTTCTCTTCTTCTAAATCCAGAGCTAAGCTTAACAGGCTAAAAATATACTGCAACTCAGAGCAGAATAAACCGGCGAGAAAGACATTTGATCTTTGTTGTGATGGAAAGAAGTCCCTCTGAGTCAAGTATGCCGTAGATCTTGCTTTTCCCCAAAGATTTGTATGGCATTTATTTGCATCTCGATGCTTCCAGTAACATGAAGTTCCAGGGACCATCCTTTATAACCTCGGTGGTCTAGGGGTGAGCAAGTACGGCAGAGTTATGCTGGGTTTGGAATAAACTTTTTTATTTATCGGTATAAATGTGGAGCAGGTAGAATCAATCTTGGAAGTCAGCAGGAATTCACCTTTAAAAGTAACCCAGTATGTGCCCCTAAGCTTTTCTTTTCAATCTTTTCCAGCCAGTTTCAGGTCTGGACCAGATTTCCCTTTCCTTTGGTTTCCTGCTTTCCTCATTTGCAACAACAGGACTGTAAAGTAGGACAAGAGGTGAGTTCCTAGCAGGGCTGTTGTTTAGGGTTGTCAGATCTGGACTGCAGAGATAAAGACAAGCACCAGATGGCGCAAGAGACGTGGACATCCCTTTGCTGCCATCTACTGCCCATCAAGAGCCTTGCAGGTCAGATCTTCTAATGCAGCCCATTAAGGCTCTTTGAGAGGAGCCAAGCTATATTCTGCAACCATAACTCTGATCCCAGGATCGAAATAGATCTCACTTGAGCCAAGGCGTCACGCTGAGCTGCATAATGTCTGCAAATCCATATTTAGGTCACCTGGGGACCCAACACGGTATCTCACCCCAGCCACTCTCATTGCAAACGTGATTTATTCAAAACATCCTGGTTCAATAAACCATGGTTTAGTGTGATGTGTGGATCAGCTAGCCTATATCCCAAAGCTTCTTGGGAAGATGGATGAGAAAAGGACCACAATCTTTAGTCGGAACTTTGTTTTAGAGGGAAAAGAGGAATATGAAGCTAATAAATTCTATTTTAAAACATTGACAATCTTGGCAAAATTAAATTCCCAAAAGGTAGGTTTATTTATTTATTTACTCATTCGTTATTTTTTTAAGTTCTCTTTATTATTTACCTGTATATCATGCCTTCCTTGGAGTGCCCAAGACAGCGACATGGATGTCTCCTCCTATTTTATCATCCCCATTTCATCTTAACAACAACCCTGGAAGGTAGGTCAGGTTGAGTTGAAATCAATTCTTCCAAAGTCACCCAATGAATTTATGGTCACACTGAGATTTGAACCCAGGTTCCCCCAGTCCAAACTGACAATACATTTCCCATTTCCTTGTAGTTCTTGCAACCCCCTGCTCTGTGCAGGATCCACTAGTGCATTTCTGACAGATGACCATCCAACTACTGTTGGAAGAGCTCCAGACCATCATGTATCAGATAATACCTCACACTCATCCCTAAACAATCCATCAACAGTGTGTGTAATCTTAGACAATATCGTATAGTCTAGGAGAGTCATTCATCATGTGAGGTAGGATTTATCATGATCCTGTCTCTTTTCTACACCATCCTCACTAGATTACTCATCCCTCACGTGGCATCTAACTAGATCTTTCTGCAAAACTCTAGAAGGTCCAGTTGTCTATTGAGATTCTGACTCGGCTGTTAGGAACAGAGTGTGGAAGGAGTTGACCCCGTCCTTGGCTGACTATCGTTGCTACTTGACACCGTTCCTTCAAAACCAAGGGCTGGGTGACTCGGTTCCCTGGCTGCCTGTGTCACCCAGAAGATGTGGAACCTGGCAAGGAACTTCCGTGCCACCATCTTCAGTGCCAAAGAGGATTTCTCTGTAACCCATGGCAGCATGGACCTGTCAAGGTGTCTTAACTGGTGCATGTAAGTCTGTGCATTCTGTTTAGAGGGCAGTCTTCAGTTTCATTGTGGGTTGACTTCACTTCAGGACTTTCTATGACCCGTCGTTATACATTCTGGTTCCCGGGGTGCCCACAGGGTGAGGAAGTGAAGCTGGGATTGCTGCCTGCACTTGGGAAAGCAAAAATGCTTCCCAGCCCATTTCCCCAAGGCTCAGCACAGCTGTTTTTTCTCAAAGAGTTGTAAAAGTTTACAGCCCCAGAAACCTGAGAGATGGACTTATGGATTCATTCATTCATTCATTCATTCATTCATTCATTCATTCATTCACTCACTCACTCACTCACTCACTCACTCACTCACAGTTTGCTTACAAGCATCCACACCAATGTTCCAGCCACCCCCTGGTGTTTCCAAGGGTGTGCCCGTGTCCAGAGGCAGCCTCACCCCACCCCGGTTCTTAGCAGAAAAGCGAATGCCAAGACAGAGTGAGGAAGAGGTGGGTGTGTAGGAGGAAGGGAGATGATAGGAAAATGGTGAGGAAGCAGGAGGTGACGTCTGGAGATTGGCTGCTATTACAAGCAGGCAAGAGGATGACCAGTCAACTGCCAGGACCACAAGTTATGGGGAA